TGTGCGGTGATGACGTCGCGGCTTTAGCGACGCGATTTTATCACCGCTATTTTGACGAGCGCGGTTTTGTCATGCCACGGTAAATTGTACGCTATTCCTCTATGCCATGGTAAACAGACTTTGAGTATTAATTCTAATGGCAGAACTGCATGTATGTGGATACATATTCAGGAAACATTTGATGAAAGTTAGCTGTAGGAGCAGGACGTCTCCCTTTTGTGCTGTCTCATAACATTTTGCTGCCTGAGGTAAAGAATGAAATGCCTTCTTTTTCCAAGATGTTTAGCAGGTGAATCTTATACAGATAGACATACTGAGGCCCAGACACTACTCACAGGCAGGCATAGAAGAGATTTCTGATCACCCATGGATTACCAATATTTATATTAGCCGCATTTATGTGAGGAGCAATGTAGTAACAATAATGGCAGTAAGCACCAACATCATGACTACCAAATTACACCTGTATTTCAGATAACCATTTGGTGGTAGCAAGCAGTCATAGATTTCTGCATCTTATTGCAGCTATTGCGTATCTGAATTTTGCAATCTAGATCCTGTATAGCAGCTTTAATCATATCACTATCTGCCAAGCCTGGCATGAGCTGGCTCCTGTCAATCTATTTGTTAAACTAGGATGTTTGTCAATAGACTTGCTCGTGATATGACTCACATAATTATATAATACAGCCAAGTCAACCCTGCCAAAAACAAATAGGGAGAGAGATGGGGAGGGAGGGATGGGGGGGAGAGGGAGGGGGAGGGGGGAAGAAAGAGGATCTTTCCTCCAAGATTTATTGCCTGAGGTGACCATTTTATTTTATTTTTCATTTACATTCAATTAAAAAAAATGGTTAGGAATATACTGGAGTACTTGACAAACTAGGTCATGCCTCCAACTTTCATTATGTTATACATTTTAGTACATTGTGTTGTTTCCATACTTTGATGTTTATATAATATATTTTAAATTATTAACATTTTATTATATAAACAGCTTAGAATATTAAGAATAGGAAAGAGAAAGAAAAAAAATCCAATTATAGTATAAACTATAAATTACAGTTTATTACATGTGAGAAAACATTCCTGTTTCATGATATTTCCAACATTTGTTGCTATATGATTGTCTAGTTTAGATATTATTAGAGAAAATTGAGGTGTTCAACACAGGATTTGGTGCGGGTGACTTCTAAGAAATGGAAAATGCTTTGGATAATTGCTATAAAAGAAAACAAATTGAAGGTCATTTGTCCTATGTCAGTAGGTCTAGGCTTGTGTTAGTTCCCACAGTGAATTCCAAAGCAAACACTTGGCACCTTGCGTAAAGAAAGGCAGCCCATTAGATGCAGCCAAGATCTGTCTTTCAATAATGTGTAAATGTTGTGTAAGGTGTGTATATATTTTAGGCTTGCTTTTGTAAGGTGTATGATCTTTGCATCATAACACACATATACCATCCCTCAAAAAAGTGGCTGAAAAACAAGGATAAATACACTTTATCAAAAGTTTCAGTATAAGTTGTACATGTGGAGTCAAGGTTGTAAGAAGCCTACTAAAACACTTTTGAATGAATTTGGTTTACTGAACTTTTTCTGACATCTCATTGATTTGATTAGTTTTTAAATTCCATTTAGAATTTAGAATAGAATAACAGAGTTGGAAGAGACCTTGGAGATCTAGTCCAACCCTTTGCTTAGGCAGGAAACCCTATACCAGTGACGGTGAACCTTTTTTGGCTCGCAGGGGTGGTGGTTCATGCGTAGACATGCCACATATGTGCACGCTAACCCCCTCTGCATGCATGCCCGTGCGACTAGCCCTCCCCCTGCTTTTGGCACAGTTTTTTCACCCTCCCCGGGCTCCAGAGGCTTTCTAGGAGCCAGGGGGGTGGGGAAGTCTGTTTTTGCCCTCCCCAGGCTCCTGGGGAGGGCAAAAACAGCCCCCCCGGAAGCCCTCTGGAGGCTTCAGGATCTTCTCTGAAGCCTCCGGAGTGTAGAAAACCGGCCCTCTAGGCAAACCAGAAGTTCGGGAACAGAACTTTTTTCGCCCTCCGGAGCCTTCAGGAGGCTTCCCTGAAGGCTCCAGAGGGCAAAAAACAGCTCTACAGCCAAACTGGAAGTCACTTCCTGTTTTCTAATAGGGCTGTTTTTTGCCCCCTGGAGCCTTCAGGGAAGCCTCCAGAGGGTAAAAAACGGCCCAATGGACAAACTGAAAGTGACTTCCGGTTTGGCTGTAGGGCTGTTTTATTGCCCTCCGGAGTCTTCAGGGATACTCCCGAAGCCTCTGGAGGGCGAAAATCAGCCTCAAAAGAAGGAGAGGAATGCCTTGCGTAACAAATGGCTCCGCGTGCCACCTGTGGCACGCATGCTGTAGGTTCTCTATCATGGCCCTATACCATTTCAGACAAATGGTTATCCAATCTCTTAGAAACTTCCAGTGTTGGAGCATTCACAACTTGTTCCACTGATTAGTTTTTCTAACAGTCAGGAAATTACTCCTTATTTCCAGGTTGCTTCTGTCCTTGATTATTTTCATCCATTGCTTCTTGTCCTGTCCTCAGGTGCTTTGGAGAATAGCTTGACTCCCTCTTGACTCCCTACTAACCTTTACATTTAGTTTAGTAGACATTTTTTTCTGTTCTCTCATTCTTTTATAGCAGTTTTGACTTTTTAAAAAAGCAAATGCTTTCTTCACATACAATGTGAACTTTAATGTTCTAAAAATACACAAGTGATTATTGATCAATAATATACACTATATTGCCAAAAGTACTCACTCACAACTGAATCTGATTATGTGGATGGATTAGCGAATACTTTTGGCAATATAGTGTAATTGGCACAAGTAAAAAAAAACTGATATTAACATAAGCGAGCATTCTTTCTTTCTCAGAAGTGCAATATTAAATAATATAAAATGTAAGTTTGCAAATCTGTCTGCAGATAACATCTCCCTCCATGCATCTTTTTTTTTAAAAAAAAGTTTGTTTATGTGTTGGGGGATGGATTAGGCTTATTTGGAAAAAGTTAAACATTAAGTTAGTAACAATTTTCTTGCATAGCATTATCAGGCAGTTGTGCTCTGCAAGAACATTTGAGCTTTGAGCACTTTATACCAAGGAGAACTCCACCAAATCTAAGGTCTTAAATGCAAGGAGATATCAAGTTATAAATTTAGCTATAAAAATAGCTCTGATTCTTAGGAATGTAATGTTATGAATGCTTTATATTTTGGAGGTGGTTTTTCTTTAAAAATTATTAGCCGTAATAGTGTTTTACCTTGTTAAGTGGGTATATTTATTGTTCACCGTAGAAAACAAATTTAGCTGGTTCGCTGTTATTTTGTAATTCATTCTCTTTGGGCCAAGCTAATTGCTCCCTTTATTTAAATTAAGTAGTTTAGAGAAATATGAATATATAGAAGGTAGGTTGGTGTGAGAAATAGAGTTAGAAAAGAGTTAGTTGGAAAGAGTTTATAATGAAGTTCTGCCAAGCTCTTGGACAAGGATAAGATAAAGTTAAGCTCTTAAACATGTTAGATTCAAGAGGAATCTTTTTAGATGGTTCTATGTATTGCCATTAATCCTCCTTTGGGACTAACTCTCATAGGATTAACTCCTATGGGATGCTATGATCACACAGAATTTTCTGAATGATGGCAACTGGGCCAGCTGCAACTGCCATCATTAAGTCAGCATGGTCATGCAACAGCTTTGCAACCACATTGATGGAGTTGTTGGTTCCATTACCATTATCAAGTGAGGATTACCTGTACTTCAGTTGCAAGTAAAGTGCAGTAAGCTGGCCTGGTTGCATTGTCGATGCTTTTCTTGGGTTGGGCTCAAGAGAAAAGTTCAAGGCTCCTGTTGGGACATATGAGAATCAAATATATAAAACCAGCCTCTTATTCTTTCTTCTATGTCGAACTGGCTTGCCAGGTCTTGGCAAGTAGCACAGAACTGCACAATTTGGGGGGCTGCTTGATGTTCCTCAAGGCAGGGGTGCAGGGCAACCCAAAAGGCAGAAAACAGGGGAGACATATGGGCAGGTGGGAGAGTTGGAGGCAGTCCTTTACTTTACTGATGCTCGGAGCTGGGAAGGAACAATACCAGAATGTTCCAAACAAGCTTTTTCAAGAGGCAACTGAGTTTTCTAGATACCAAAATGGTTTGGTCTGGGTCCTTGGCTAACAATTGGTCACCTTCGCTTAAAGAAAGCACCGGGGATCACCAAGATTGTGGTTGCTAAGCGATGTGATCACATGGCATCTCACTTTACAACTGCATTGCTTAGTAACAGAAATACTAGTCCCAACTGGGGTTGTAAGTCAAAGACTACCTGTACTGGATCCTCCTGGAAAGCATTGCAAGACTACTTCCTGTCTCAGTTGAGGCTTGTTTGAATATCAAGGTCCTTGTGAGGTTTATGGTTTTTCTCAAATCATGGCCATAGCTGTGATTTACAGATTGTTTCTCATTCTTGCCTTTTAGCTTTTAACTTCTGATTCTGATTTGTTCTTCAGTCTTGTATACTGCTTGTCCTAGACTCCTTGGTTATTATATCACTTTAGATAACTGCCAATTTATAAGTAGCAACTCTTGGCAAATTACAAATACCTTGAGTTCTCAATTTGATCAAATACCACTTTAATTACTCTGATCTACATTTCAAGATTACTATGATATTTTAAAAAATAGTTCTACATGATGAATATTATATCATTTATTATATAGCTGCAGTTGATCCTTCATATCGTATTCTTAGAGTGGAATAAACTTCACTAATTCTGCTAGAGTTTGCACCTGTGTAAACAAGCATGAAAGCATTTGTGAGGCATAATGGAAAATATAAGACTGGATCTGAAGAATCATTAATAGAAGAAATCAACCAGCTCTGCTTTTCAAACACTTTTAAGAATCAGTGTACCTTTGCTCTCAAAAAGTTGTCATTGCCTCTGGAAGAAATTGCAGAGTTTTAAGAAAAACAGTTATTTCCTTTTTTTCCTCATTACTCTATAACAAAGAGTTTAACTGAATTAGGAGAGGTACTTTTCAATTCTAGTTCATACCATTTAATTTGCTTGCTTTGATATGGTCTAGTATTTATTTGATACATAAAGTTTGTGATCCCAAGAGCTACTTTAGAGGAGGCTAAGAGCTTATTCTGCCTCAGTCATTGGAATTTTTAGTATTTGTTCAGTAAATGAATAATTATCGTTAGAGATTGCCTCAGCAGATGACTCCTAAAATTTGACTCCCATGACATTATGTATTTTTCCATTAGCACATACAAGGTGGATTTGCTTTCTCTAGATGGCTGTACAATAGTCAGAATAAAATACTAATAAGCCCTTGCTAACATGAAAAAAATTGATTACAATTATACTGACATTTCTCTGGGTCACCCAATTATCACTGCAGCTTCCTTTCTTGGTATCCCGAGTCTTCTTCCATGCTATTTACAGTATATATCAGATTTAGTGATTGGAATGCGCTGAAAAATGGGACTTGAGAAAATCTAATTTACCTGTTCAGTTTCAGTGAATGGTGGTGGTGAGCAGTTGCTACAATCATCTCCTAAGGAAAAGAAAATCATATTTTGCCCTAACCTTTCCTGGGGAATATTAATAAATAGATATAAACTGTTTCAACTTCTCCCCTCAAGATGCCACTCTACTGTAGAGCATTGCATGCCAAAACAACGAAACGTATAGTTTCTTCCTCCATGCCATCACTCAGCTATATACCTAACTCCTACAGCACTGTATTCTGCCAAAAGATATTTACCCATGTAGTAGGCTGTGTTGCTATTATCCTTGTCATCTTGTCATCCTCCCCATCTTTCTCACCACTCATCTTTCCTACTACCTTCTCTTATATGATATATTATGATATATCAATGGTTGTATCTTATGATTTATTATTATATCTTATGATTTATGATGTATGGCCTATCACTTTGTTGTTTGTATGTACACTGAGAGCTTATGCACAGGAGACAAATTCCTTGTGTGTCCAACGACGCTTGGCAAATAAAGAATTCTATTCCATTAATAGTGATGTTTTTTTTTCATTTTAAATGAAATATTGTAAAAAGTATTTAGTTAATGAATAAACATCTACCTGCACCAATAAAGTAGGTTATTTTTCTCTAGGGAAGAAGATTCAACTTAAGGATTGCCACTGCTTGAATGATGATTGGTTGATTGGTTTAGGAAAACATCACCCTGAGTGTTTCACTCTTGATCATTGCCATGATAAAGATCAGAGAATTTCTGAGGTTGGTCTAAAACAATTCTTCCAGTACTGTGAAGGATATCTCAAGGTAATGTCCACTTTAAATATAAAGCTTGGTTTTGTTTTTGTAATTATAGCAAGTTGGGAAAATATTTATTATTTTTCATTATAATTTATCTAGATTTTAAATTATACTATTCTATGTGAAAAATAATATAAGAGAAATAAGAAATAAAGTTTCTACACACACTACTGGATCCCGATGCTCACAGTGGGCCATATTCTTTCTAGTTTAATACAATATCAGTAATATTGATTTCACAAAATTAAAAATATATTCTATTGAAAACCAAGCTCTATGCACTTCAGTATGGTTTCCATATTTACATTAATTCTGATTTGCAATGAAACATGAATAAGATTAGATTGGATATTTTTATCTAATTGGTTTCTCATAGAATTTCTTCCATCCAAGAGCTGGGACCGAGATCTTATTTAATTCTAAGTTCTCAAAGAGGTACTACCGTAAGTAAAAATTTTAAAGCTCCAAGGACTGTAAGGAAGAGCGAAAAGTCCTGTAATATGCATAGAAGTTCACTCATACGTGTTAGATTTGACCCCAAATATAAAGCTGACCACACCAGATTCTTGTGTATAGCCTTGAATACATCTTCTGTGCTGCAACCTTGTGAATGGTCCCAATTCTTTGCTCCTGACATTAATCTGGTCAGCTAAAATTCCACTCTAAATTGGTACCAGATAAGGATCAATGGAATTCAGGAGGGTTGGACTTAGAGAGCTTGTGGGAACGCAGTGACTCTAAGCGTATTATTCCCAGAGATTTAAAATACTCAAGCAAAAAGCAAGAAAAGTTTACAAATTTTCATACACATACTGCTCATAGAATATATGAAATTTCTCCCACTGTATTGAATAACCTGATAAATTACTAGCATTGTATAATATAAGTAATTTTTGTACAATGTACAGCATAATTATCAATCAGACATAGTATGCCATCTGCATTAATAACAGCTTGCATTCAGTCCCCTTGTTGTTATACTGAGCATGCCTTCCTTTTGTTTAATAAGGCAAACACGTGGTTCAAAAATCAAATTAAAAACAAAAGGACATCTATGACAAGCTCATAAGACATCTTGATAGATAAAAAGGTAATTCTATTTGTAGTAACGCTTCCATATTAAAGGGCATTTCACAATAAGACCAGAACAACTGATTTCAATTTTTCTGACTGTAGATCCTGAATAATGAGTAACCTAATTGTAAAAATTGTAATTCAGGATGTTATGATAACAAACCGGCGGTCTGCTATAAGCAATATAATTTTAGAATGTGGTATTAGAAATGAGAGCTAGATGTTGGATCTAATTTTCTGTTGAGGTCATCCCAAGAGGTCATGTCTATGGAGTAAGGCAGTATTTGTTCTTTCTCCATGCTTTTCTCTTGCAAATAGAGTAAATTAATTTAACTATCTCCAGGTATTCCCTTATTTTATCTTCATGCTGGAAGTACGTTGGTCAACATGTAGTTTTCTAACATTCCCCACTGCCTGATCCAGAACTGGAAAGATCTATCAGGTAGTCTTACCTATTTTTTTTTCTTTGAGATTGGAAAATGAAATCCAATCAATCCAAGATGTCAAGCTAAAAGCCCCAAGATTTCGACTCAAAATAATTAACCCTGTTTCTATTTCAAGAAAGGTTTTCTTACATGAGTCATTTGTCATCGCCCATCTAGCATCAGTATCCCAGTCAGATTTATTAATGTTCAGATGGCATTTTAAGATGAGAAAAGTCCAGGAGAGCCTAGTTTCTTATTAAAAGATTATAACAGACAGTACATTTATCAAACTGCAAAAATGGAAGCTTAGAAATTAATAACATTATAAATAGAATAAATACAAATTTAAAAGAAAAGCGATGTTTGATTTATTGTTACATTTTCGCAAGGTAGTGTCTTTCTGACTCATTCCACAAATTATATATTGTTAGCGTTACTGAGATCAAGAGGGGGCTTTTGTTTATCCCTGCAGTAGAAACATTATGAGAAATGATGATGGAAGCTGACAGAAAAACTGGAAAGAAAAAAAACATATTAAAAACTGCAGATAAAGTATCTCCCCCCCTTTCCCCTCCTTTCTTTTGTCTCTCGTAAACTATGTAGAGTTGAAATGTTGCTGTGAGGCACAGAACATGAAGATGAAGCAATAGTAATGGAATCTGAATAATCTTTATGAATTTTCAATTCTTTGATTTGATTGTTGTAAAAACTGTCTAGAATTTAATTTGAAAGGAAGATTATTGTAATAAACTTTTATTTTCTTCTAACTATCCTGTTGTAAACATAAACAATAGGATTGGGTGGGTGATTTAGATTCAAGGGATGATTTTAAAAATACTTAGGTTTGCATGGAGCATCTTTCAGCAATTTCTTAAACTAAACACATTTTCCCCAGGATCACATTACAGTTGTGAGATTCCAGAAAACGAAGCAGGTGCTTTAAGCTTACAATTTCCAAGTACCCTTTTTGCTTTACAACTGAAGTGTGGCACTGCCCTAAAATAAACAATAAATGATTCTGATTGATGTATAAGGAATGCTAATAAAAATTATCGTTTCAGTTAATTCATTGCAATTTCCCTCCCCACCCACTCTTTTTATTTAGGAACTGAATATAAAAAACTGCAGTGGTTCTGGATATAAAGGGGACAGGATTCTGCTTCATGCAAGCACCTTTTGCCATAACTTGGCAGTGGTAGATATAAGTTGGACAGGAGCTACTGATTTTGGACTCGATGCCCTAGTCAAAGGTTCTAGAAGGTATCTAAATCGTCCCCTCCCCAAAAATGCCTTTGTCTTCAATACTTTTACCACCATTTTGTACAATCAGTTGCAAAACAATAGGAAAAGCCAATTAGATTAATCATATCTAAAATTATATAGGAGTGTCTTGCAGTTTGGAATGCCCTACCCTGCTTTTTATCAGAATACTTCTGTTTCACTCATCACATTGTTCTATTCTCTCCATAAGACATTAGTAATTTATGGCAATTTATTGTTGTTTCGATTTCCCTCTGTTTTTCTGTGCCCCTCTGCTAATTGGGATGTTTTCCCTGAGAATTCCACTCACTCATGTCATGGTCACCTTATGGCTTGACTACTGAAAACACTCTGTATGAGGTCTTCTCTTGAAGAAATCAGGAAGCTTAAGATAGTCTAATGCAGAAGGGCAGGGAGAGTTGGGCATATCTTGATATGACCATGTAACATCTCTGTTTTGTGAGCTGTACAAGCCAGTTTGTTTCCAGGTGCTGGTTATGACCTATAAAAGCTGACATGACATAGGGATTGGTTACCTGAGGGGCCACTTGCCTTCCACATTATCTGCTTTGCCAATTTGATCTGGCAGGATTGGCACACTCTAGGGCAGGGGTCTCCAACCTTGGCAACTTTAGGCGTGGTGAACTCCAAATCCCAGAATTCCCCAGCCAGCTTTGCTGGGAGTTGAAGTCCACCACGCTTAAAGTTGCCTAGATTGGAGACTCCTGCTCTAGGCTCTCTAAGTTAAACCATACGGTGTACTGGAAACCTATAAATGTGGTTTCTCAGTGCCTGCCATTTAGGATCACTCCCAAGTTCTGGACAGCCCTACTTAGCTGATGTTTTGAAGGGCCTTAAAAACCTGGCTCTTCCCTAATTTTCTTTGGCAACTTCACTTTCTGTTTCTTTCTGTTCTTGTCAGGGTTTTTTTGGGGGGGAGGGGGGTGTCATCCTTGCCATCTTTATTCCTCAATTTGGTCTGCCATTTTTAAATTGTTTTTATTTGTAACCATGAATGCAATAAATAAACAACAATCAAAATATCTGCTGGTGCAAGCTCCCCCCTCTCCCCTTCAATATCCAATATTGGACGTCAATTGGCATTCATCATCTGAAATGAGAAAAGTTAGGATTTAAATTGGAAGATGTCTAGTCTGTAATGTTAACAGGTTAACAGGCAGAAATTGCAAGCATCCATGCTGGTTTTCCTAAATGTAGTTAATCCAGTAAAAGATAATTGCTTGTTTTTCATTAAAGCACAATATCAAATTATGGGATTTAAGCTGTGCTATTTTTAGTATCTACTTCAGAGGGAGCTTATTGATTAAGGTGGGACTGACTTTTAACTAGATATACCTGCATGGTTAATTTTATAGAAACTAAACTTTGGTCCCACTTTGACTGAATTCATGTATTTTTAAAAATCTAGCTTTTTGAATTTTTAATTTGGTTTAATTCCCTAAATCTGCTAAGGTGAAAACAAGTCACATTGTAATTTAGCATGATGAATATCTGCAATATTCTGAGTTCAGTATTCATAAAAAATAAATGAGATCAGTAGAGGTGCCTATATTTAAGACCACTTATATCTTATCTTATAGTTTCCTAATGAGAACATAGTCATTGTAAGAAAATCTGATATTCCATAGTAGAAAATATTTATATAACAGTAACTAAAATAACTAAATAGAGTGAAGAGAATTGATAGGAAAGTAATTCTTTTACATGGATAGATGTGTGAAATTTGCTTCTCAGATTTTCCTGCACATCAGAAAGTCAACATCTGCAATATAAGAAGCAGGCTCAAATCAACTAAATTGCACAATACTTTATTATATTAAAAATGCAAGTAATTGCTATTCTTTTAGTTTACAGTATTTTTCTGCTAATGGATGCCAAATTACCAATGAGTCAGTAATGGCCTTGATTGAAAAGCATGGAAAAAGGTAAGGTATATGCCAACTAAAATTGTTAATCAAAATTCAGTACAAAGTGGTTGCATTATCATTGCTTTAATTTAGAAGGGTACACAAGACATTTCCTAATTTCTATAAAAATGGGCTTTATACTGTAGGACAAAAGTCAAATCCATGACTTTAAACGTAGAACACACAGACCATTCTAATTGAATCCAGATCTTTGCAGGAAACCATCCTTGACTAATGACTGGTTAGCTTCCGTGTTAATACATCCAAACAAAGAACACCCCACTACCTCACTGTGTAATTAGTTCACTTAACAAACTTCTCTGATCTTTAGGAAGGGATCTCCATCTCAATTCAGTGGAATTTACTTAACTTTAACTTTAATCCTGTCATGGCTAGTATCAAGAATATCAATTACTGTGCTTTTATGCCTATTCCCAGCTTTTAATAATTAAATCGTTAATATGGTAAGTTAGAAAGTTTGTGGACCATGTTTGATAAAATATATCCCCCAGCATAAATTAGGGAAATTAAAAATCCCCCATCACAATTATTCTATGTATCTTTGAAAATTCTAGAGTTTATTTTTATATAACACACATCTTTTCTTTGTGCTCATTTTGTGATCATCAGCAATAGTATTACTTATGTTCATTCTTCCATATATTTTAATCCAGTATAGTGTAGTATCACTAAATTCACTCCTTGGGTTTCTGTGGAGATATGGATTATTTTAACCTACAACTGTCTTTTAATATTTCTATTAATTCCTTCAGTTCTTCAGTTTTATTCTAGTTGTAGAAATCATACGATCCAGGTTTCCATTATTCTTGCTATGCTTTCTTTTACTATGTTCATCTTATTTTATTTCCCATAATCTGAACATTAGTGCTTAGACCTAGGTCACAAATTTTATAAAATAACTTGCTGATTTTTTTAGTAAGTAGTTTCAAAGGCTCTTCTATTGCGACAGAAAAAATAGCTTACTATGCTTAAATTACTTTTACTAATTTTTGTGGATAGCAGTGCAATAGTCTATTATCTAGATAATTCAGACTGTGATCCCACAAACTTGACACAAACATGTCATTCACCTGTCTTTTGTGAAGTGTTTTTTGTGGTTTCCCTTTGAATAAATGAGAATATAAATGAATAAATGAAAAGGCTAGGTTATTGAGTTGCCTTCCTTATCTGTTAAATTATTATATGATTGTAGCTGTACCTACGTCCCTGTTGGTACGCTTGGGAGAAGCAACAATTGTTTGTGAACTTGCTAAATCTTGGAAGTTCTTTCAGATTCCTGATTCTTACTCCTGGTGTTTAACATACAGTAGTTCACAAGCTCACTGACCCTGTTAACATATATGCTTGTTTCAGTTCTTTATAACAACAGGTCAATTATAACTTTTTTCTATGATGGAATAATATTTTTTAATGTAGATGAGTACTTGTAGCTCAGGGTTGAAGTATGAGATCCCTGGTGCTCTCTAAAGCTTGATTGTTTTCTTGCAGATGTTTCCTTATCCAACCAGGTAACACATCAGTTCAAAGATCTATATCTTATCTTTTGTTCTACAATGTCTCTTCTCTTGAAAGCTCAAATGTAGAATCTTCTCTGAAAGCTTTATCTGAGCTCTAACAGTACAGAATGTCCTCTGTTTTTTATTCCTGATTCTCTCCTACTTTTTTAATTGTCTTCTTTGTAGACAGTTGCCTCCATTGTTAGCAACTTCGGTAAGCCCTTCTTTCATTTAATCATAAACATCTTCACTGCTGTCATTAGCTGATGTTCAACCAATGATTGCTCCGGTCTTCTCCCTTTTTAGCTGGATACCACTAACATTTACATACTGCAAATACAATGCCAGTTTGTTTCCAGGAAGAAACATAAACATGCTTACAAGCACTACAAGTGATGACGGCAAATGTTGGAAATCTTATTTTAAGTCAATCATGTTGCCATCATTCAAGCACCTTGTAGCAATTTGAACTTGTATGTGAATTGGTTGTTTGGCTTGCCTTAATGACAAAAAGAGCTTCAATACTACATTATTTCTGTGTAATGTATTATATTGCTAATATAGGTCATTATTTTTTTCTTAAAGAAAAGGTTGTAGCTTGCAGTACTTTAAATAAGTTCTGGTCTCAGAAGAGAAAACAAAATCTTATAAATGCCTTATTTATTTTGTATTTTTATCACAGAATGCCTTAAGAATTAGGTCTTGTAATAAGTAGAGTATATATGCAGGGTTCACTAAAAAAAAAGAAGCCATCATATCATCTCCTTGTTTTCTTGTCTTAACATAGTACTGTACACATATTCACTTCAAGATGAAAATCATGGTTTGTTTTTTTTGGAACAAATCACAAGTTGATGTGATAATGTGTTGATATACAGACTCTGGCTTACTATTTTTGAAAACAAAATCGTACCTCATTCCTGATTTAGACTTTATGAAGCTGAAGGCAAACTTGACTGTATGTTATTTCATGATTTTATTTTCACCTACATAAGATTTGCATCTTTGCCTGAGATAGATTCTTTCTCCCTGTACAAGTTATCTTTATCTTCACAAACAAAACATTTAATTAGTTAGTCTTTATGGTTAATTTGAACTGTATAATGTATGTTATGTACTTGAATAAAAACATTTATATAAAACCAAATACAGTGCAAACATTAGCAATTGTTTATATTTCCATTTGGTTACCTAACAGATGGTAATCAGAGTCTCTCAAAGTGACTTTTCCTTTTCTACAAACTGTACACAAACTTTTTTCTTTTCCAATTATGAAAGACTGCTGGCCTTTTGAATTTTTTTACTCTTCTCTAGCGGACAACTTTTCATACTGTTCAGAGGCCACTTTTGAGCAGAAAAAAGGTCTGTTGAAAGGTCTAAAAAGAGTGGAGGGGAGAAGCAGGAATAACTAGCTGAAAACATATAGAAGGAGATTTTTTAATAATGATAGGAAAGTGTCTATATTTTTTTTCTTAGGTGCTTCTTAGACCTTACTGTGTAACCTTGTAAGATAGATCAATATATGATCTGGCAGGAAAATGAATGAAGCTGAGAGACAGTTACTAGTCTGAGGCTATTTAATGGGTCTGAGCTGAATAACAATTCCCAAATTTCTAAGGCTAATTTGTCATTTGTGGTTTATTTTGGCACCACAAAATCCTGGCAAGTCATTTTTTTCTTGATTGAATGACATTGGCTTTATCTTGTGCCAAGCCGAAGATTTCCACAATTATATGCTGATGCTTCAGGACCCTAAAAATATTTATTTTCCATGTTAAATGTATCATCTAACAAAACACTGCAAATTTGTTCTTTTTTTCTGTTTCATTTCTTCTGTTGGATATGGCCAATTCACCTTTTATCACTCATCAGGGAAATTCCACAGAAAGGCCTATTTTGAAGGGGGAAGGGCATTTTTATGAATTGTTGATAGTTAACAGGAGTCCTGCAACTTACCAGGGTTCTTACATATGTTCTTATTTTCTTTTCATGTAGATAATTGAAAATTGCCAAATAAATAATCCCATGCGTGTATATCACATCATATAAAAAGCATGTGCTTTCTGAAATCAGTTATAATATAAAAATATAGTTACTGTAATCCTACCTGATTAGTTTATTAATTAATTTATCAATAACTTGTTCAGACTTAGACCAAGATACTATAATATCAATAATTTCATATTTTGTTTTCATATGCTTCGCATGTTAAAATTGGGGAGTGATATTATCTTTAAGCACTTATCTTAAAAAAATTGAATGGCTAATATTGAAGGATATTGCTAACTTCCTTATGTTTTTTTCTAGCCTTAAGAAACTGGAAATGTTTGGCTGTCAAGCCATTACGGACAAATGCTTGAAATCAATTTCTACTAAATGTCTAGGTCTAGAAGTTCTGAATATTGGCAGAGTTCATAGAATTTCGCAGGACTGTTTAGTTCAAATGGTAAATTCATTGCAACAGCTTACTTGCCTCAATGTCACAGGCCTTGAAATGGTAAGAGCTGTTTATTTATTTCACCCATTTCCCTCCGTTAATTATTTCTTTTTTTGCTTGTGTTTAATTTATCATATTATATATGTCAAAGATTGACAACTTAAAAATGTAATCCCTGGAAGAAATACTTTTTTACACTTAATAGGCTTATTGACTAAAATATTCTAATGCAAGGTTTTTTTAAAATTCTAAATTAGTTTTCTCCCAGCCTGGTATCCCCTCTTCTGATGCTAAGACATAGACTGGAGCTAGAGGTCAACCTGTCACTTTATTTATTCATTTGTTAAATTTATATGCTGCCCATCTTACTGTTAAGTGACTTTGGATGACTTACAATGTCATAAAAGCAAAATACAAAATATTAAAACATTAAATTAGATGAGCCGAGGTGGCGCAGTGGTTAGGGTGCAGTACTGCAGGCCACTTCAGCTGACTGTTATCTGCAGTTCAGCGGTTCTAATCTCACCGGCTCAAGGTTGACTCATCCTTCCATCCTTCCGAGGTGGGTAAAATGAGGACCCAGACTGTGGGGGCGATATGCTGACTCTGTAAACTGCTTAGAGAGGGCTGAAAGCCCTATGAAGCGGTATATAAGTCTAACTGCTATTGCTAAATATTAAAATTAGCATAAATTTGATGAGTTAGAAACTGGAATTCAATGGGGTAGGGAATGGGAATTTTTTTGTAGTCTATTAATGAGTTCCAATGTAGAATGTTCTCATCAGGAGCCCAGAACAATCAGCAGAGCCAGTTTGAGGCTCTTTCAAAAGGACAAGAGAGTGGGAGCAGATCTCACTTTGAGGAGGATGTTCTAGAGCAGTGGTGTCAAACTGGCGGCCTATGGATTGGATGTGTCACATGCAGGCCACGTCCACCCCAGCTCCGCGAAGGGGAAAAACATCACGATGTGTCACATGACGGCAGTGTTACACCTGTTTTCTAGAGGGTGGAGCTACAGCAGAAAAAGTCCTCATTCTGGATCCTTCCAGCCAGAATTCTTTAACAAAAGGGCCCACAACATGCCTCTTCTGCTGGAACGAGTGGAGTGAGCCAATCCCATTGAAATGAGATAGTTCTGCAGGTAGCCTGGACCCATGCCATAAAGGAGTTTAAAGATGATAACCAACACCTTGAATTGGATTTGGAAGCAAACCAGCAACCAGTATAGTTTGTGCAATAGCAGTGTTAAATGTATCACTCTAGGGGATCCTAGAACTACCCACTGCTGCTTTCTATGCAATCTGTAGCTTCCAAATACACTTCCAGGATAGTAGCAGAATGCACTGCAGTAATCCAGGATATGAGTGATTGAGCAGCAACTTTGGAGCAAGGTGCTATTTTAAGTATCCAGAACACAAGTCATGCTAGGCTTTATCTGGATTTGCATCTGAAAGTCAATGCAATAGGTGTAACAGATTAACTGCAGAATGTTTATAATGAATTATGATATCTGTGCAAAGGTCCTCCTTGCCAAAGCTGTCACTTGCACTTCAAGCAAGAGCCAAGAGTCAGGAGGCCCCTCCGGTTACACACAAATTCTGTCTGAGGAATACCTTATCCAGAATAACCTTGTCCAATATTACTGCCAATGGGACTTCTTGTATTACTACGCACTGAGACTTGACAGGGTTAGGCCTGAGCCTTTTCTTCCCTATTTGAATACTAATGGAATCCAGTCTCTAGAACAGGGCCCCAACCACATCACCAGTTCAGTCTAGAGTCGCTGTATGTCATTCATATTGTCAGGGTTCCAATTAACACTCGCAACTAAAGAAGACTCCCAACTAAAGAAGACGCCAAGGCTAGTGATTCCTCAAAGATCCATTTTATTAGAGATGTCATATTGGCACATCTGGGAAAACCTGAATCTGAGAGTTCCGGGTTTTCCCCAGCCAAAAGAAAGTCAAAGATCCATCCCCTGCACCCACAAGTCCATCACATGATCCAATCATTTCAATGGCCCAACTAGAGACTGCCCAACTAGAGACCGTCCCCAGTCACTCCCATCCAGGTGCACGCTGAATGTCCTTGACTGCCATAGAAAAGAATGTTGTTATGGCTAATCCTCCACCGGCTCCTAGCAATCCCTCCTCCCATTTTCCCAGGCACTAAATGTGGCAGCCCTGCAGCTTCAATGAAAAAGATAGCTTCCAGGACTGACACATATATTGATATATTTCTAAAATAGTTAAGAAAGTAGTATCATGGATTTATATATAAACCGATAAAGAGAGTAATGGGAAAAACGTATGCCAATACACATTGAACATTACTCTATAAATAATATACTGGAGTTGGTTTCCTTATTGTACTGGGAATAAAGAACTTGACTTGCAGTGAATAGCTCTGTTCTATTATTGAAAGACAATCCTCCACATTGCCTTATTTCTTGCTTTTGTCTTGTCTTGGGCTGCAGATGAGGGATTCTCTAGTACATTCTATTTTGAAGAAGTGTCCTAAACTGGATTGTTTGATTCTTAATTTGTGTTCTCACATAACTGACATCAGTCTAATTGAAATTAGCAGTTATTTGCCAGGGATCAGGTAAGATAATATGTTGCAAATGCACTTGTCCTTGAATTTATATATTTTGGTATTATTTAAATAATTTTCAGTGATGTTACATCCTTAGTTACGTTGACATTTTGTTTTGCCTTTTTGCTGTTTGCCTCAAATGCATTAAATAAGTCCTTGAAGCTGTACTGGATCGCGCTATTTCTGTGGCAACTACTTAACATTTTGTTGTGCTATCAAATGTATATGGTTTTAAAAAGTAAAATTTAAAAGTGTATTAGATTCTTAACATTTTTATATTTTAATAATAAATTTAAAATAAAGAACTGGAAAATAACTATAATTGAAGCTGAAAATCATAGCGCTGTGGTTACTATTGATCATAGTTTAAACCCGGAGTGGGAATCAAGTAACATGTATTCAATAAATAAAGTATGGGTTTAGCAGGATTGCCTGTTTTGAAACTCATTTATAATCTATTTAATCGAAGAAGGCATTAGAAAGTTGCACATCTCTGTGATAGTTAGATTGCTTTGCTTTGGATAAAAAATTGTTGTTTTCTTTATTTTGCTAAAATAATGAACAGTATCTTGATGCTTCTTTTGCTATCACTGCAACTCATTCCTACTTCCTTCTGCATTTACTCCCAAGATGACACACTTTGACTTTTTAAAATGTTTCCTTACTCATGGTTTGAATCACAAGGCTGGGAAGGGGAAATTATACACGAGAGGGAACCAGAATACAAAGATAAAGTGACTAAATTAATGGACCAATGAAAAGCTGTGGACATATTATAATTGGACTTCAGTAAGGTATTTGATGTAGTAAACTACAACCTATTTCTTGATAAGATCGAAAAATAGGGGATAGAGAGCAGATGGATTCGTAACTGGCTGACAAGCTGCCCTCAATGTTTAGTCCTCAATGGAACTACACCTAAATGGAGAAAGTATATAGTAGAGTGCCCCAAGATTTTGTCTTAGGCCTAGTACCCTTCAACACCTTCATAAACAATTTAGATGAAGAAATAGAAGAGGAACTTATCAAATTTGCAGATGACACCAAGCCAGGGGGAATAGCCAATACTTTAGAAAATAGCTCAAGATTCAGAAAAAACCTTGACAGACTTGAAAAATGGGCCCTATCAAACAAAATGCAATTTAGTGGTGAAAAAAGTAAGGATTTACACTTAGGCAAGAAAAACCAAATGCATAGGTATAGAATAGATAGTACCTGGCTCAACAGCAGTAACTGTGAGAGGGATGTAGGAGGATTTAGTGGTCAAACACTTAGGTATGAGCCAGCAGTGTGCTGCAGATGCCAAGAAAGTTAATACAGTTCTAGGCTACATAAACAGAGGAATAGTATCAAGATCACATCAAGTATTAGTTGGAATACTGTGTCCAGTTCTGGTCTCTGCAATACAAAAAAGATGTTGAGACTCTAGAAAGAATACAGAGAAGAGGGACAAAGCAATGTTCCCTCTAATTTTTTTTCAGTGTGAGCGAAAAGTATAGTGTTTGAGCGGTACATTTTCATGCCTGAGCACCTGAATTTTTTTAACAGATGTCACCTAAGACAACAACGAAATCAGTATTATTTGAAACTCAAAGTTATGTTTATTCAAGGTACCCGCTTAATTAAAAGTGTTATATAATATCAGTATCACTTAACAACGGTCCTGTTTAGCAACCAAAATGTTGGCTCAGAAAGTCTAGCTTTTGAAGCACGCAAATCTTAAAGCTATTGTTACAACACCCTCGCACCCCTAACCCTTTAGAAAAAAAAACTCTGGGGTCTTCAAACCTGACAGCTTTAAGACTTGTGGACTTCAACTCCCAGAATTCCTCCTCCAGTCATGTTGGCTCAGAAACTCTGGCAGTGAAGCATGCAAGTCTTAAAGCTGTCAAGTTACAAGATCCTTGCACCCATAACCCTTTAGGGGAAAAAAACACAGGGATCTTCAAACCTGACAGCTTAAGACTGTGGACTTCAACTCCCAGAATTCCTCCTCCAGTCATGTTGCGGTGACGTCATCTGCGTGGATCTGCTCCATCTTCGGGTTTTTTCACAGGGGGCAGGGCTGCCGCTGAAGATGCCGATGAGCCTCCCCCCCCCAGAATAACTCCTGCCGTCTCCCCCTCCTCCTCCAAGAGGACCACCACATTTGCTGCCCAGCGCTGCAGCCGAGGTGAAGCCACCAAAGCTCCCGCAGGCGCCCCCACCCATGGCAGCGGCGGCAGTGCCTCCCCCTCTGCTCGGAACACCTCACCTAAGCAGGGGTGCTGGCGGGAGCTTTGGCGGCTTCACCTCAGCCGCAGCGTTGGGCGGCAAATCCGGCAGTGCTGTTGGGGGAGGAGGAGGCAGCAACAGATATTCCGTTCGAGCAGAAAGCAGGGCGAGGGATGGGAGGAAAGAAAAGAGCCTGAAGCGCCCGAAGCGATGGGCTCGGGCGTCCAGGAGAGCCATCTCGGTGCCGCCGAGGCGGGGGGGGGAACGCTAGGTGCTGGGCTGCCTGTGACTCACCCTCTCCATGGCTCCCCAGGGCTGCAGCAAACTAAGCAACAAAGCGAGCTAGAAGGACCGCCATTTTTTTTAATATCTCTCCCAGTCTGGGGAAGTCCTTTGCGGGCGGCCAGTTCTAGCCGCCTGCAAAGGACATCCCCATGTTTGCTTTGATAGAAATCTCTGCGCGGCAGTTAGAAACTGCTGCGCGGGGGTTTCTTGCCACGTGCGCGGCCGCACAGCCACGCACCTTAGAGGGAACAGTGGGACAAAGATGAGTCTAAAAGCTAAAATATGATGAAAGGTTGTAGGAACTGGGTATTTCTAGTCTAACAAACAAACTGAAGGACTAAGGGTGACATGATAGCAGCCTTCCAATATTTGAAAGGTTGTCACAAAGAAGAGGAGGACAACATATTCTCCATAGCACTTGAAGGTAAGACAAGAAGTAATGTTGATCATTTGATCCTGGGATGCTGCCACCATCATAAACACATGTCATTTGCTAAGTGCCCAAATTTTCATCATGTGACTGTGGGGATGCTGCAATGATTGTTAAGTGCTATCACTTTTTCAGTGCTATTGTAACTTTGAACAGTCATTAAACAATTGGTTGTAAGTCAGTATGTTACAGCATCCTAGGCTGTTGAGAAGAAGTCAATGCATATGAAGGTCAATACCAGCTAAAGAATTATGACAACTGTGATTTCACATTGTTGTGTCTGTAGCGATAATTAAAAATGTCAATAGAAACATCCTCAGTACAAAAACTGTACATGAAACTAGGCTTCTATATTTTCTTTTCAGTTTGAAACATCATGCAAACTAATAAAAATACAAATGAATGCAATAGCACTAAAGGATCAAATAATTATAACATTGATAATGGAGGAAAGAAAAAAAATGAAAAAGAGGTTGAAAATTATGAGAAGAATTATCCTGAAAATTTTATCTATGTTGTTCAGAAATCTTCTCTGCCACTTGGTTGAAAGAACAACACTTCAAAATGCTGGCAAGCAATACTTAACCAACAGTTTATCTTCTAAATAGCCAATTAGTTAACTGACATACCATGTAGCAGTAACACCCTATCTCTTTCAAATCTCTCTGTGTCTGTGTCAGGTTACTGCTTTTTACATCCTTTCAGGTACCTTGATGTTAATGGATGTAAAGATGTGAGTGATATTGGAGTTCAAGCTTTAGCAAGGAATTGCCATAAAATTTCTTATCTTGATTTGAGTTCCACAGCAACAAGCAAAAGAGGGTAAGATATTTGGTAAAAAATGTGCACATTTTAAAAAGAAAATAGGTGACATAAATTAAAGCTGATCTTAAGAGTCTATTTAATATTAACTATATTGTCAGTGCAAGCAGTGACATAATACTACCATTGATTAAAAATTGTTTTAAGTCACTTAAAGTGGTTATATAAAGAGGAAGGTGAGGTATAAATCAGGGGTGGGATCCTACCGGTTTAACAACTGGTTCATTGAGCGCACGTTTCGCAATCTATGCCCTGGTAGTGCAGTGGTTAGAGTGCAGTATTGCAGGCTACTTCTGCTGACTGCCGCCTGTCTCAATTTGGCAGTTCAAATCTCACCACGCTCAAGGTTGACTCAGCCTTCAATTCTTCTGAGGTCAGCAAAATGAGGACCCAAATTGTTGGGGACAATATGCTGACTCTGTAAACTGCTTAGAGGGGGCTGTAAAGCACTGTAAAGCGGTGTATAAATCTAAGGACTATTGCTGTTGCTAATATTGTACAATGTACCCAAAATACTTGTCTAATGATCTCCTTTTCAAATCTTATAGTAAAAACATAATGTAATTTGTTCTTGGATTTCAGGGTTTGCTTGTTGGCTAATTTCTGCTTTAATACCTTAGAGTGTCTGAAGCTTAGTTTCTGCAGGAATATCTCTCTAGATTCAGTTGCAAAACTATGTAAAAACTGCAAAAGGTGAGTGTACTTTAAACTGATGCTAAAGTCTCTCTAAAATTCAGACTATTTCATTTTGGTGACTTGTTAATAAGCAGGGCGAGCTTGTTTTAACTATTGAAATGGAGGTGCAAGGATAGATATCCCAGTGGTCTCCAGATGTTATAGATTATTGGTCATAATAATCAGGCTATTTAGGGCTTATAAATGGTGTTATTTAGTCCTCAGTATTTGATGTTTAAAATAATAAAAAAACTGCCAGGGGTTATGACCAAGATTTATTATATGAAAAAGATAGGGGAAAAAGAAGAATAGATCACTGTGTCCCCTACTATTAGCCCAACTAAAAGACAAAGTAGTTTTAATGTGTTCTTACTTAATGAAATTTCTGGTTTCAATATGTGATAACATCTTTAATTTTAATGGTCTGAGTAAAGGTTTAAATAAATTCATGGTAGAACATATTTTTCTGATAGTCAAGGATAAATGCTAATATAGCTTTAGAAATAAATTTCATCCGCATACCGCAAATTAATGGGAACCCTACATAAGTTTAGAAATTGAGGGACAATGGACTGAAATATTGAGGAAAAGTGCATGGAAAACTGGTGCAATGTTTAACAGGAGTGCTCCACCTTACATTTTATGCCCTCCTGTTTTAAATAACTAAATTAGAGATTCCTAAGCTTTGGGGACCATTGAGAGGACCTGGAATTTGGACAGCCTGTTCTGAACATTTCTCACTAAATGCCTGATGTTTTTAGCAGCACCAGTTATAAAATATTCATTTATCTGTATTTATACTTTATACTCACTATCCCATCAAGGATCTCAGAAAGTTCTCTATTTCCTCGTGTCCCTTCCTTTTTATTTTTTTGGATAGATGGTCATTTGTATCATCCTCAGTATATTTGGGTCCCAAGCATTCTTTCAATAAAAATTTTTCTTGGGACTGGGACAGTGGTGGCTTCTGGATCCTGTTGCAACCAATACGGTGCAATGGGGCTAGACGTCCACCACATGAACACGCGCAGGACGTGCATGCATCCTTACCTCTTGTGACGCTCCGTGATACCTCCACTACGCTCCAGCTACTCGGCAGAGCGCAGGTGCTGTATGCTCTATGCATCTGCGCAGAAGTGCCGAAGAGCTAAAAATTTTGGTAAGGAGGGCAGGGTCCTCCGGAGCACCGTACTGGAATGGTACCCAGTGCTCCCGGCAGGCACCAGTACACCCATACCGGGGTGTACTCGTCGTAACCCACCACTGGACTGAGACTTTATTCTGCAGAAGCTTTCCATTAGCTTTGGAAAAAAATAACTTCAAAACAAGAGAGACTGGAACCTGCTAGCATTTATTCAGTGCTTTAACCTTTAGCTTAGCCAACCAGCATTGTAAGGGAAAAACATTTGTACTTCCAGAAAATCTAAATCTCTTTAGGTAAACAGATTTAAGTTTTCAGTAGATGTCACTAACTATACTAACTATCGACCCATATCTTTGCATCTCAAGTTACACTGAATTAATATTCAAAGGATGTGGTTATGATTCTTTTGTTACTAAGGTGGTGATTTTATTGCTGCATATCACTTTAGAATTGATGAGAAATCTAACTCATTTGTAAAATATTGCTGAGATTAGGTGAACAAGAACAACCAGTATTCTTTATTAACATAAGCTTGTAGATGTGAGAAATATATTGTATAATGTGATAGGCACATGGTACGGAGTAAAGCAAATATTTATGCTAATAAGGAAAAGGGTAGCAGAAATGCCAGGGATATTTTATGGCTAAACATTTTGAGAAGTTTCATTCTCCATTGCTGATAATTCTTGGAATTGGTCCACATTTTAGGAAGTTAGCCATATTGATAAAATATGCAATAAAGGGTTGGAAAGAGGTTGTGGCCTGTATAATGTATAAGCCTAAAAACTGGACTGCTCAACTCTTGTAACTTAAGGATATTTATAAAGGTAGAACTTTAGGATATTTGTTGTATTGTTTTGCAGATAATTTGAAGACATTATTACTTTTACTTGGAATTAATTAATTATTTGATTACTTAAGGTATAGAGCTTAATTTTAGAAAGAATAATTATCTGTGTTCTCACATTTATGTTAAGAACCAGTGTATGCTCAGATGTGATTTAATGTACATAAATCAAGCATGAATTCTGGAGCAATTTGCTTCCAATATCATCTGTTCTTTGTTTTATTTAATCGTTTTAGTGAAATAATCTTTAGTTTCTTTTCAAATAAATGACCACTCAAAACTTCCTTGTTTAATACATTCTTTAGAGATATTGTAATGCTAACCTGTTTATTAGTCACATTGCTGTTTCCTAGAAATAAGAGCAAAATTAAAACTGCAGGTTCAGTTTACTTACAGAACCATACCCAGTGTGTCTCATTTGCTTCTAATTTTACCAGTATTTTATGAATTATATATGTTGCAGTACTCATACTCTCTGAAATCTATTTTATAGTAAAGAAACATCTGAATTATTATAAAGAAACATAACTGTGGTTGTGTAATAATTTGGCAATTGTGAATCTATTATTCTATTGATGTTCTTTTTTCATTCCAACAGACTGCAAATACTTCACTTATATGGTTGCCGCTTTATACCTGATTTGGAATCCATTACAAATGTTAATAAAACTGTTAAAATATTTCATGACCTGACAATTGCAACTGTGAAGTTGTTACCTGAATGAGAACTCTGCCAAATCTTTCAGCAATTGTCTAATGAATAGTTTAGTTTGACTATGGTTTTTTTAAAATGTGGTTAAAATGTAGAAACTTACCTTTATCCAATACTTCCTATTCGTGTTTCTTTGTCATCTGTGGAATAGTTAAAATGAAGAAAATCTTGTTAGAGCTGTTTTCAAGATATATTTCCAGTTTCTTTGATCACCAAATTTGAATGACATGATGTTCTCAGATCTAACCTCTCCAGATATTGGATATTTAAATTAGAGCTGCATTCTGACTGATATCTCTTTTAAAACCAATATCTACGTAATATATTTCGGAACAAAACCTTCTTTTGCTTTTTTTATGCAGAGAGCTTTGCCTTCATTGCTTGCACTATGGCTCATAAAAATAAATCGTCTTTTGTTGAATTTTTTTCTCTGCCAGTTGCTTGAATAACATGGGTTGTTCCTCTGGCTGCTACACTGATGCCAATCCTACATAGGCGGAAACTGGCTGCCTGAATAATACATCAAGAACCATCTATTTTGTAAGCTGCATTTTCTGTGACACCACTAAATGACACCATATTTGATCTTAAGAAGCGTCAAAGCAAAGGGCTTGAACATTATGGCAAGATAAATATCAGCCTTCCCACAATGTTGCATTTCTCTTGGGAGTCAAATGCAAATTTTTGATTAGAGTGTACCAATAACCTTTTGGTCACAGCATTTTCAGATAAGGTCGGCACACTGTGTAACACAAGTGGATGCAAAATCTTGCTGTTAGATATCTTTCAATTTCCTAGGTTATACTAAGGAGACCAACCCAGCTACCTCAAATATCTCAGAAACCATCTCTGCTCTGGATGTCAATTACCTCAGAAGAAAATCGTCTTAAGTCCTTTCATCTCATTAAGCTAAATTAGAATATCCACAACATGTTTCTTAAATCTGAAGCTTTTCCAAAACATCCTGTAACTATCACATTTACCTTATCATCATACTATAATCATGATTTTAGAAACCAATCCCTTATAACCAATAAAATGTTTGGATACCAATTAAAAATTCTTAAGCAGATGCTTATATTTTGTATAGGAATACACAATTAAGAGAGGCAGAATACCATTTTCCATATATATGGATGTAGTTATGGAAAACTATATGGCAACATCTTGTATTTTATTATTTCAGATGGCAGGAATAGAACCAGGACATACTGTAAAAAAGGAAACAGAATTGAGTAGAAAATTACCAGAAAATTGCAGTTAAGAGATGAAGACCAATGAAATGTAAATGTCTCGGCAATGGGCTTTGTACAAGTGATATTCAAGAAGAGATTGAAGAATCATCTGTGACTGAAATGTGTCACCATGCTAACACTTTTATTATGAAAATTTGATAATTACCTCTAAGCTCCCTTCCAAATCTAATATCTGATTCTAGGATTCCAGTATCAAAAATTGATTTCTGAGAATCTGGGATGATTTTTATTTACAGCAGGGTGGATAATTAATTTTGCCAAGGGGCCACATGAGAAACTGGGACTGTTGTGGAAGGCCGAACCAATTGGGCTTTGAAGGTGCATAGGTGTACATACATACATAGTTGCCTTCAAAATAAAGGCAATCCATGCAGGCTGGACATGATAGCCAAAGGGCCGGATGTGGCCCAGGGGCTCTAAAGTGCCCAGGTTAGAGTTACAGCTATGCTTCTGAATCCATGTAAGACCAACAGGGAAAAAAATGATGAAAGGTTGCAATGCAGTGCTTGGAATCTAAAGGAAAGTTTTATTTATTAAAAAGTACCAACTTGGAAGAAAAAAGTTCCATTATTCTTCCAGACCATTCTAATTGGTGGGTTTTAGGAGGTTCACTTCAGGATAATTCTTCTATATTCCTCCTCCAGAGTTTCCTGATCTTTCATTCTAGGGGTGGACTGGTGGCTCCCACATCAGTAGGATCCAAAATAAAAACGTCCCTATGTTATCTAGATTGTTTTGTTCATAGAATGATAGGGGCTTTTCTTTTACATAACTGTTAGTTGCCATAGCAAAAACATCCTGTGTGGCTAAAGATGGGTAGGAAAATTCAAGTGTCCCAAATAGAGAAAATGTTAGTTACTGTTAGCATTAAAAATTGTGTCTCAGTTGAAATCATTAGTTTCTTACCTTAATCTATTTGGAATTTTGATCTGTAGCATTCTGTTTTTATTTTCTGTGAAACGTGATGTTTAAATCTTAAATGTTTAAGTTAAATTGGCATCATCAAAAAAATCTCCCCAACTTAAAAGGCTTTTGTTACCACTTGCTTGAATTGGCAATGCAGTCAATAAAATGTAGAACAGAGGTGTGTATGTGTGTGTGGAAAGTGAGATACTTGGATGGCACGAGCTTCCTAAAAGCCTTAGATGCCGCGCTCAGAGACCTTCAAATGCTATCAATTGTAATCTATATTAAATGCTTGGTTAGAAAACAAAGATTTAAGTAAATTTAATTACAGTTTAATTATATGAAATCAAATAGAGTTTTTGTGTTGGACTTACTTTTTTTGAGAAACATGCCTTTTGATATAGGTTTTTTTTTAGTTGTTCAAGGCACTGGGCTAGAAATCAAGATACTGTGAATAGGACTTTGGGCCAGTCCCTCACTCTCTCAGTTCAGCTCACCTCACTGAGTTACTGCTGTGGGAAAAATAGGAGGAAGGAATATTAGTTATGTTCATTGCCTTGAGTTAAAGGCCAACGGAAGTGTCTTGGTATGCCATACATGCATGCAACTGATTCAACTAGATATAAGATGTCTTTATTTATTACTGTTTCTCACATTTTGCCTCCTCTTTATTTCCATTTCAGCATATAGGTGGCCCTCAATTAATGACCCAAACCCATACCAACAACTCTGTAGATAAACAAAACAGTCCCAGTTGTCATAAAATGAATCCCAGGGTTGTTAGGTGAAGATTCCCTAGATTCAAGCAATCCCTGATTTGGTCTTCCCCAGCCCAGAACATCAATTCACCAACTACTTGGAGAAGTTCTTCTACTCTATGCATCTTTCTCTCTCCTGCTGTATTCCCCTGCCACCATCCCAGTGGACCTTCCTCCCTATCCTCCTAGGTGCAAATATCATATTCGTCCTATCTCTGCTAGGCATGCCACCACTACTAAGAAGCACTGCCTCCTACTGCAACAGTCATAAGGTTGAGGACTGGTTGCAAGTACATTTTTTCAGTGCTGTTGTAACTCGGTGGTCACTATTTAATGGAAACTTAAGCGAAGACTGTGTATTGTGAAATACTAAGAATCAGAACAGGTTATTGTTTAAGATAAATGTGTCAGTAAGTTTCTCTACGATCTTAATGCAATGGCTATTTTTAAAATAAAAATACATGTTTTTTTTAAAATGAGCATTTTACTGTGATAACATAGGTGTTACAATCTTAAGTAACTTTTGATAAAGTATGGCTAAACAGAATTATGTCCAGAAACAGGCTTGGCACAATAACATTTTCTCTAGTTATTCTTAATGAATCTCAATCTCACAAAACCAGTGTTACAAGTAAATGCCACTTCCTTTTCTAGAGTCTCAGGTGATTTACTGTTCTACAAGCAGAAAGGTCAGATGCTGCAATTTGTAGTGCCACTATTTCCTGAAACTTGTCCCAGCCCCCAATGTACATAAGATTGGGTTCCAAATTTCAGAATGATGTTTTGTTGTATTTAACTGTCACAAATTAATTTATGAGCTCACAGATAGGGATTTTTTTTTACTATAAATGTAAAAACCAGGTAATCACAACCAAGTTAAATAAATGTACCATAAAACTTGTGACATTACATATTCATGAATTTTGGTTCAAAAATGTTCCATCAGAAGAATCTTTTTTTCAAAAAAAAGATCCATCCTCTCCACTTCACAAAGAATGGGCCTGCAATTTGGTTGTCAAAGCTGAAATAATACGGGTAAAATAATAATGGTGTTTCATTTGCATCACAGCGCTATGTAAAGTATCTTTGCTTGGGGGAGAAGTCTCCTAGTGAGGAATAAGGATTCTCTCAGGTAGGAAAGCATTAAAATGGCAACCTTATGGGAAAAAGCAGGACGACAGCCACAAAGTGTCTCCACCAATAATATTTTTTTAAAGGAAAAACTGCTGGAAGTCCCCCAAAAGTTTTTCCTTCTCCAAAGTAAGTAGAATTAAAGTGACCCAAACGGGTATTTGCCAAGAGAAACCTGTCTGAGAGTAGAAGGTGAAGTCTATTTCTTGACTCTTGGCTTCTGGGTGTATTTAAGTTGATTATCAAGTTAACTTCTTTATAATTTGGGGCTTTCAGTTAACAGCAAAACCTGCTGCCCATTTATTTAGAAGAAAACTGCGTCGAGGGGAACATCCTTCTCTAAGGGCCGCTTTTAAGCCTGCAGCCTACTGGATTAAGAAGGCGGGGGGCCGGGGGCAGGAAGGCAGCCGCCTGTCCCCCTCCTAGGCACAGTTGAATCGGTCTGTGGCAAATGCTCCATTCGATTCGGGGCTCTAGCCATTCCCTTGGCGCCTAGTCAATTAGCGTCGTCACCCTTGACTACGCAGCCAAGCCGCCTCTTTCCAGGATGCGGCGCTTTTGGCGGGCCGCAAAAGAAAACTGCGCCGCGGGGAAACAATCGTCAGAAGTGGAATTCACACCTGTGACGGACCAGCCCCGTCCTCCCCGTTCCTACACGTCTGACGGGCCGCGGGGCGGTCGCGCCCGGGGCGGCCGGGCGGACGTTCTCAAAGTAGCTCTCTCCACTGGGAGGCAGGGCGGGGGCGGGGGCTGGGGCGAAATTCTTGGAAGAACTTTTCCACCTCGAGGGGTGGGGCGGAGAAGGGACGGCCTGGAAGGCAGCCGGCAGCAAAAGCACGGAATCAGGCGCGGAGAGTCCTGTCTCAGCGTCTTTCCTTCCCGGATCGGGGTTTCCCGCCGCTTGAAGCCGCCGAGGCGTCTCCGCCAGTCCGCCGCCCTCCCTCGCCGTGCGATGGGCTCCTCCGCGGGCGAGCAGGTGGACTTGGATGAAGGCGGCAGTCTCCGCTCGCTCTTCCTGGCCTGCGATGTGAACGGTTCCGGCCGGATCGAGCGCGATGACTTCGGCTCGCTCTGCGCCGAGCTGCAGGTCCGGCCGGCGGAGGCCGAAGCTATTTTCCAGCGCCTGGACACTGACCGAGACGGCGCCATCACCTTCCGCGAGTTCGTTCGGGGGTTTCGCGGCATCGCTCAACCGCAGAGACGGCGGAGCGACCGCGAGGAGCTCCCCGGGGAAGAGAGCGACGCTTTCGGTGCCTTCGCCGAGATAGTGGCAGCGGCAGCGGCGGCGAGGGGATCTGCGGTGGGTCCCAGCCAGGCCTGGAAGGAATTTGAGCTTCGGCTCGGGGAGGAGGCGGGCTTCATTCCCAGGTAAGTCGCTGTTGCTCCTCTGAAGGGAAAGGCGCGCCATAACCAGCCCCAGAAGTTTTAGCCCTTACTATTTTCAGTCACCCTTCAAAGGTAAAAAACGTTAAAAGTCCTTCTGAGTAGTTTCGCCTTTTATTTTCCGAAAGATACAAGCCTGTTAACAAATCGCTTTAAGCAAACGTAAAGCAGCGTTTTCGGAATGGATAAAGGTTGCACCTGTTGAACTTCTGCAGGACAGGTATTACTTCAGGGATACACAAGGGCTACTGCGGGCAGCATTTGACCATATAATTGTTATTTTTTTATTTCAGCCTTGCAATGGGTGGTAGTTGAGGATCACATATTTTACTATTTTCATTCTTTATAGTATGGTAAACACTAGCTAACTTTTCTACAAGGAACTGGGAGTCATTGTTTACCCTCTTATCAATGCAAAGGCGGTGAGGTAGGAGAGGCAGTGTATTTGTATTTGTGGCTTTGCTGGCATTCAAACTCTTAAAATTTTAGGTAGTTGCCAATGAGTAACTGGCTTTCTGATGAAGCAGAGAAAGTCCTAGATTATAGTTTCTAAGCAACCGCTGCTGTTTTCACTCTAACTGGAAATAATCTTCTGTAGATTTATCTCAGGCTTGTCTACCTCATAGCATAGTTTTTGTAAAAAAAAGTATAAACTCTTAAATAAAAAGAACTCTAGTCTCTCCTGCTGCTCCTGCTTGGTATTTGCTGTTCCCATTGAAAATCGTCCCTGTTAAAAGAAGTGGCATATGGTAGCACCACTAAAGAGCAGATGGCTAGAGGGGCAGCAGAAAAATGACAGGGAATTTTTGTTTTTGTTTTAATGATGCAACACATACCTTTGAAAACTCTCATCCAACAAGCCTGCAAGGTGCCACGTTGCTCCTAGTCTTTTCTTGTTACTGCAAGTAAATAGAGGTGCTCTGCTCAGATTTCAAGTCTTTTCTTATGACTCTAAGAGAATCTCATTCTGTTTTCTCTTGGTACTGCCTACCGCAGATGATCATTTTGCAGTCTTCTGGTTTTGTGGGAGTCCATCAAGCACATTTCCAAGCTAGTATACTTTCTTAAACCTATCCTGATTCTTCAAACAGCTGTTCCTGTGCAGTGAAAAGCAGACAAAACAAATGAAAAACAAACAAGCAGTCAAGTGAATTTAACCATTGATAGTCCTGCTTGAAGTCAGATTTTTGATATATTCAAAATTCTTTTTATAGTTGCAATCTGAAAAGTTGGTTGTCTGGCTGTTCGAAGATGTCAGTTTACACCTATATGGTTTTAGTATTGTGAAAATAATTCTCTGGTTGAGTTTTGTATCATGTCTCCCTGAGCTGTATCCTGAATGTCCAAATAACAAGCTTTCTTTCTAATGCTCTCACTGGAGCATGAGAACAAGACAATAATACAGTCTCTCTCTCTCTCTCTCTCTCTCTCTCTCTCTTTCTTTTTGAAATGCTATTCCCAATATATTAGCACCATAATAGGAATATTGCCAACAAAAACAACATAGTATTCTCAAACAACTCTATGGTTCCTTTGGAGAGCAGATTAAATGTCTATGGAGATTCTCAATCATCCAGGTCCTGGGTGTCCCAAAAGTGCTTT